TCAAAATGGAATTGATAGAAACTGCAAAACACAGCTTTTACTGCATACCTCTAACACATAAACCTTTGAAAGCATCTTCCTTCTCTATGTCATCACGTATCCTGTCTCGAGTTGGATGAAAGGATAAGTTAAATAAGGATGCAACTCTCAGGTTATTGTGCATTACGAGTAAATAACGAAAAACCTACATGGGCAAAGCAAGACTGCATGAAATGCTCCATGTGCGGGGAGACGAGCTCTGGACAAACCCATGCAAGTCTTCCGAGCGTAATGGCACTGTTCTCGATGAGTGATTTGTTAAGGCCCTAAAAAGAAAGAATAAATGTTGTGTATTCAGTCATTTCTCAGATTAATAAGTGTAGAATCAACAATATTTAACTCCTTTTAACAAGTCAACAGCAATATCAAAGACAAATCTATGCTGAAAAATCCAACAACAACAACAACTAAGGATGGATAATTACCTCAGGATGTTGCAGTATTGGAACCAAACAACAGATCAGTCATAAGGTTATATATAAAATATATGGTTTAGTGCATATATTCCTTACAATAGCACTAAAATACACACCAAAAAATACCATTCACGAATACCAAAAAATGTCACCACCAGTATAGAACACATCATCAATGTAGCTCATTTGCACCTAAACGAAAGCGATAGCAGTGTAGTAGTTCCACTCCTCGCTGCCCTGTTTTATGTTTTCATAGCCAATATGATTTTGTCTGATATAGCTTTGAGCATCATCGGCATCAGCTAATTTTGTCAAATAGTTTACAAATTCCCCTTTAAGATCTGCAAATAATTGTTTATCAGTTTAGTTGAGAATGATGAATTACAAAGTCAAGAAAAATGCTTCTCACCCAAATAATTGTCATGAACTGATCCATCGTAGGTTTTGGGGAATATGGCATTGTGGGGCTACACAATTCAAAAAAGGGAAATATTATATAGCATCTACACGAGAATACAGGAATTCTATCACATAAAGAAGTTTGAGTTGCTACACTTACTGGGTTAAGAATTGATTTGTAAGGCGAGTCATCGACTAAGACTGTGTTCGTGGTGTCATACAATTCAAATTCTCGCCAAACCTTCTCCAATTTCTTAAACATGACTGGTTTTTGTGGATTATCCTTAAGGAAGGAACTTGTCATTTCGCATTTATCTTTACCCTACAACACAACATTCAATGCGACATTATACTAAAATTACCAAAATTCTACTAGGACACTGACCTTACAAATTCTAAAGACTCACCCAAACGAACTTCAGTTCTTCGGGTAACTGCTTTCCCATTTTCTTGGACATTTCTTTCAATACTGGATCCACATTTTTGCTAGAAAACAATTAAACGTAAAACATAAAAAACGATCCACAATTGATGAATATTAATAATTAATATATGAGTTGAAGGATACCTCATTTTCGATGACCAAATGGCCACAGAAAATTTT